GGAAGTGCTTCACAGCATAAGAACTATTCTTCTACAAAGGACCAAACTAAAAAAAACTGGGACCGAGGTGATGGCAAAAGTAAAATAAAGATTAACACAGAAAAAGATTGAAGATTCTCTGAAGTCAGGTATGCAGAAGTTATAAGTTCCGTACATGGCAATTAAAGGAAAGAAAGTATTTTTAACAAGTGTATTCATTAGAAAGTTTTAGTACAGTATATAAATAGAAAATAATTAATCACTACAGTAAAGATTAATATGGAAGGGTCAAGGAAAAATCTAATATATATCTATCAGATATACATAATATGTATATAATCAGATACATATATAGGCACCCATATACAAAAATACATATACATATGTATTCAAGAAGCCAGTATTACACATGAAAAATGCTTATTAATATGAAGCATCATTTGGTCCAAAGTCTCCTTTTATCACAGGGAACCATAACTTTAAAAAATAACATTATAATTATTATTTAAAACAATTTTAAAAAGAGAAGATTCTTACATTAAACTCTTTCAACCATCTGATTTTACATTTCTAAATCCATCATAAAAAAATGACCTAATACTTTTTTGTCACAAAAGCAGCTTGCTCCTTGACATACCAGAAAAACTTCTTGAGCACACATTTTCCTGGCAATACAGAGTTCTTAATTTCACTTTATATAATTTCCCATATGGAGAATGACGTATGGTTTTCTCCGCCCTCCTGCTGCTGTCCCAGAAGACAAAACTGATGTCAAGATGAACAGTTTTTAGTAATCAGCAATATCAAACTGTATGCACAGAAGGGAAAAAAACAGGAAAGAGGCTAGACTGGGAACAGCACAGGTGGTGTATGGTAGCCATAAAGGTGCAAAGTGCATTTGCACTCTCCAAGGCACACTGGAGGCCTCCCTCATTGTGGAGGGAGGAGACAGGAGCAACAGGATCAATAGAGTTCTGACCCAGAAACACCAGACTTGCCATCAGGGTCTCCCCAGCCTAAAATAAATTCCCTGCTGAATACACTACACCTCTCATCTCCAAAACTACTCATACAGTGGTACCCCACCAACAGGGGCCATTCAGCTAGCCTGCTCCCTGCTGTCTGCATTAAACTGTAAAGATTTCTCAGCATTTAGCTGCCAAAATAATGGAAGTAAATAGATGGAAAGTAAGGCAGACTATGCTAATGATAAAATATAGAAGTTACTGGAAAGATGTGTTTCTGTTATCTAAATTTCCATTTGGAAACAGATTTCACATATTCAACTGTGAGGTTGGACTACAGTTGATTATTTAAAGAAATCCAAGGATAGACATGAGTGGCAGAATTCATCTCCAGCCAAAAAAACAGAAAAGTTATTTTCTCATCTGAAGTGTTATGATAGACCCAAAGCCATGTTAAATTTGGGAAACATTTGTGCTCTTTAAATTTTTCTTTAAATGCAAAAGGAAGATAGCTACTACAAACACATCTGTGAAACTGACCCTAAGGCCAACATACAAAAATTATAAAACATTCAAAAAAATTTTCCCTCTGTAGTTGTCATTTTCAGCCTTGGGACTTACTTATATTAAGTGACAAATGCAGATGAGATTCCATCAACTTATATTTCTTTCTTATCATACTTTCAAGCACAATTCCCCTGTGTTTCTGAACAACAGATTTATGCATGAATATGGGGGGAAGAACCTCTGAATTTACCTAGTCTGTATTTTAACTGCTAATACACACACATGCTGTTTTGATACGAGTTCTTCCAGAGCAATTTAAGACAAGGAGCATTCATTCACTAAGAACACCTAGAAAGTCATTTTGTCTTGCATTTCAGTGATGCCCTAGAACAAACATCCCATCCACTAAGCATTTAGCTGTCGGGCTGGGTTTCAGAAAACATGATTACTCATTGCCAAGAACTTAATGAAAAAATGGTTCTGGATTTCTCTATGCTACTGTCACATTACATTAAGATGCTTGCTGTTTAATTTCACATCCACAGAATTGTGGATACAAACAATTTCAACTATCACACCAGGTAAGTGCACACAATCTTATTCTAATAAATTGCAGAATATATTCATTGTACCATTTTCATGTGGGACAGATAGCCATTTTCCAAAACACTGTCACATTACATTCATATGGCCTCTATTAACCACCCACCTTTCCCTGAAAATTATACATGTTCCTAAAAAATTAAATACAACACTAGAAGGATCAGAAGTGACTACTTTAAAATTATTTTGATGCAACCTTCTGAAATTACTGTTTCTATAAATGCATTCTTTAAACACTCTTTGTCAAACTAAACCAAATCCCCCAGCTGTTCAAACGTCAAATATTTAAGAAAGGTATTCCATTTTAAAGATCTCTCTACACTTCTACTGATCAACCAGAATTTTGCACAAATGGAAACTTTAGTCCCTTTGGTTTTATCTACTACTCTTTCTCCCCAAAAACAGTTATCATCAACCCAAGGAATAGTTGCTGTGAAATAATACTATCTCGACACACAATTCTTTGGCCAATGCGATTAGTAAGTCCCACTACCACCCTGTATCAAATACTGTGGTGCATAGCTTCTTACTCACTACTAAAAGGGGCATTGTAGACAAGCCTTCCGATGATTCGTATGCAATGGCATTAACTTGTCACCCATTTATCATCACAGCACCTCCCCAAGGAAAGCTTATAGTAGCATCTTGCCTTGAAATTTATGTTGTACAAATATCTCAAAGTTTGGTTTCATTTAAAAAAAAAAAAAAATAGAAAAAAGCCAAGCTCATAGAAAGCTGTTATGAAAGACACTCGTGAGGACATATGCTCTTGTCACAGAAAATTTTTCTGGATTTGGACAAGAGTATTACTCCTCTGCCGACAAACCTACCCTCACTATAGATTATTCCACAGACCAGAGAAGTGATGCTGCTCATTAGTCTTGGTTTCTTCCACCTCCCATAATATTTGGTTAAGCTTTTGACTGAGACTCAGACCACTGACTTCCTTAACCTAAATCCAATACTCTGTAAGACTATAATTAGGAACTGAAGACTGTTCTTACATGTCTGTGGTAAGACAGTGTTGCCAAGAGCACTGTACCATTTATTAGCCACTGGGGTTTACCAGTTCTTTGTAAGTTCTTGGCTTGACAAAGGTGTGGGTGACTGAGGATAGATCGTAAGTCATTGAACCATACAGTCTTCAACAGGTGCAATCTTTCAGCAAAACAGTTATTCCCCATAGTGTTACTGACATGCTACACAAGATTTTTAGCAAATGAGAGTTAAAGAAATATTCTTGCCCTTCAGACTAAAGGGATCAGTTTTGGATGACTGTTCTCAACCAAAGATAAGAAACAAGGGCTATGAACTCTCAAACCAACATCTATTTATCAGCCTAAATTCTACCACCTTGCCTAATTTCAGTCACTGTTCTTCAGCCATCAAGCATCTGGCTACCCTT